GCGGAAGTCCCGGGTTCGACCCTCAGTGGGATGGGGCCGACCAGATGCGGCAAAGGGCGCCCGCCTGAGCCCCCGTTGCGTTACAATATCCTCAATTTTAACATCCATTGCTTGTAAAGCCCAAAGGAAATGATATAGTCAAATCTAGTTATTAGAGTTCTAACTAGAGAGGAGATAATACATAATCAACTTTTGATTCTAATTGATTTTTTTGCTATTATAATCTAAAACACGGAGCTTAGGTTTTTCTAAGACCAGTCTGCAAAAACTGCTGCCTTCATCTACACATGTGCTCAAATCATCACTGGAAACAATAGCGATTGAAGTATTTTGAACATAGGAGAGAGCGTTTTTAGTTAGTAGACTAGATGCAGTAAAATGCTGATCCATTAACCTTATATTATGCTGTTACCAAGGTGAAGAAATTGCATTGCTTTTATGATAATGTAGAATGTCATTCAAAAACTTTTGTGGCTTTTTAGCATTACACATATTATTCTTATCCTGATGTGGATAATAGTGAAGGTTTGGTTCCTATTTGTGAAGGCTGCATCTAAATAATTACCCAAAGCACTTATTCAAAGTCACTTACAGAGTCCGGGGAGCGAACTGTGCATCAATACCTGCAGTGCAGAGTCACTTACAATACTCATTTCTGCTTGACAGCAGCATTACAGTCTTCTAGCTTGATCTCATCAGATCTCATAAGTTAAACAAAGCAGGGCCTTAGAATGAATATTAGTATAAGAATATAATAATAGGTATTTGAGTGGGAGACCTCTAAGGAAAAACGGGGTTACTGCTGTAAGTTGTGTAAGTGGACCATTTGGTGTCAGTCTTCCTACTGGACCAGAAATTTCTAACCAATCCATTAAAAGTGGGCAACACAGTTGCGCAGTAGTTAACATTGCTGCCTCACAGCAACAGGGACCAGTTCAGTTCTGTACATGGGGTGTTATCTGCATGGAGTTTATATGTTCTCCCTGTGCTTGCATGGTTTTCTTCCAGGTGCCACCGTTTCCTTCCACAGTCAAAAAGACACACCAGTAGATTAATTGGCTTCTGGACGTATTGGTCCTGGTGTGTAGGCATGTTTGTTTCTATGTGTATCCTGCGATAGACTGGCATCCTGTCCAAGGTGTCCCCTGCCTTCTGCCCGTTTCCTGCCAGGATAGGCTCCAGCTCACCCCGTGACCCTGTATTGATTAAAGCAGTTAGGAAATGGATGGATGGATGCTCCATTAAGGTGCTGTAACCAGGAACACTGCTCTAATAATGCATTAAAGATCCCATGGCACATGGCAGTGTTCATAAGAGGAGGAGTGTTAATCCTAGTGTCT